GAGAAGAATGCATTCCATGACGTGCTGACCACGGGATGCTCCAGGGTGTGCTGACTGCAATTGTTCCCGACCACCTGCCAGGTTAGAGATGAGTAACCAGTCAAAAACAGGATACCGATAAGACGCTGATTGGGGCTGATTAACCCAGACCCAAGCCTCATCGTCAACACTCTATTTTTTTGCCTCTACTTCTTTGTTTTTGTATGCTTATAAAACCTACTAAGAATCTAAGTAAAGCAGACCTTGACAATCATTCGCTTGGTCTCGTTTCTTTCTCTCGCTCATCTCTTTCAGGCATGGTCCCCCTCGCCCCCGCGAGTAACAGAAGGTCCCGCGGGTCGGGACAATGACTTACTTTCATATAGATAACACTGAAGTCTCTCCCTGTAGGCCAGTCCTCTTGCCTAAACACCAAACTTCTATTTCTGGGTTATTGTTGGATACCTGCTTTATCTTCTGCCTATACCAGACTCTCAACATATCCATCCTCATCTAATAAGTAAACTTTTGATTAACATTCTTATAAATTCTATTAATAACAACACGATTCTTTTATTAACTGGAACTTCAATTTTTCCCTTGTCACCAAATTCAGTCTGTCACCAAGTCTGGTGAATTCTTCCTAAATTCATCTTTCCTCTTTTATTTCCCCATCATGGTTGTAATTCTGACTCTTCTATTTCTTGTTTGGGCTGGCTATTTTACAACTTCTCATCCCTCTATGCTGTAATTCATCCTCTTCAGTGCTCACAGTGAAATGCTCCTCAAATGCACTTCAATTTTATATGCCCCATTTTCCTGTAGCTTTAGAATTTAAAAATAAGCTCTTTGGTATGGTATGCAAAGTCTTTTAAATGGCTTTAAGTCACTATTCTCGCAGTGTGGTTTAATATAACAAGCATGGAATTTGTAAACCCTATGAATTGTATTTGAGTCTGGTTTTGCCCTTTACAAACTATATCATCTTGGACAAATTATGTAACTGTTTCCAGTATCTTTTTCACGTTTTTTTCTTCCCTTTTTTCTCTCCCCTACCCTATTTTAAAGTCAAAGCATACTTCAAGCTAATCTAGTGGCATACTTTGAAATGTTTATATATGTCATTTCCATCTCTCAAACTGCATGCAATCTCTCATTCTTTTGCATTCCTACATCAATTTCTTTAAGGAACATTGTGATGATATGTTTTATATTATCAGCATACTTTCCCATTTTAAAATCTTCCTAGTAGATTGTAAACAACTAAAAGTATAATGCTGGTCTTATAAATATGGCACACAGTCATATAAAAGAACTTGCACAAATACATACAGGAATTTTGTGTGGAACCTGAACAGAACTCAAGTGTCCTTAACCTCCTTCCATTGCATTATTCTGCCATCATGGCTACTGCTGAAATGCATGTTTTCTGCACTTGTATGCCCTGTGCAGTACTATTGACATAGTAGTGCTTACTTCTGTTCTCATTTTAAATTGAATGAGAGCCACACCTGACTGGCTGGGGCCATTAAATATGCAGGGAAATTATGAAACAAGTAGCTTGTTCTAATTTCTACCACTGAGCTCTGAGTAGTCCATACTCTTCCTCTCCTTCTAAGGAACACTTTAATTCTAATGTTAATCTAGATAGAGAATTTATGTTTAGCAATCATATTTCTATTTAAGATAAAATAAAGGAATGTAAAATCACCCATGGTACTTTTGGTCCCTTCATATGTAAAGAAAGAAAACAATTCTGGAAGTAAAATAACCCTTCTGTACCAATATAAAAGAGAGAGAAAGAACACGATTTATTATTGAGTAAACATTAACAGATATTTACACACATGTAAGGTAGCACAAAAGTGACAAAATTAGGACAAAGTCTCACATATTTTACACAGTAAAGCAGAAGAAAGAACAATAACTTCTTCTATCTCCTTGAGATACAGAGGTTATAACTTGTGATAATCTCCTAAGAGACTTCTAAATGAATTCTATAGGTACATTTAATCATATGCAAAGGTTATTTGGCCCATGACATTGGAGATATTGGTACATTGTTAAAATTGGAGACTGGGCTTAATCCTTAGAAAGATTTATCTCTATTCTCAAGGGTAGAATAAAAATTTACACTTAACTATTTTTCCAAGAAAACTCTCTAAGAATAGGAGAGGAGAAATTACCTTTTTACACTATATAAATTAAGAAAATTATTACCATTTACCCTTACACATACCCACCAGATTATTGTTACTAGCATACGATTTTCATCCCAACATTCATGCAATTTCTTACTCTGCAATCTCTTTCTGTGTACCATAAATTCATGGAACAGCTGTGATGAACTTACTTCTCCCCACAGGTCATTGTGGAGGAAAAACCAAATATGATCCAACCAAAGCACCTGGAACTCCTCAAGGGTATTATTGATCAATTAAGTCTTTAAGTATTTATTATTTGGAGGAGTTCTCAAGACCAAGTTTTAGCAAATTAGGATAGTCTCTTAAGCTCATCACTTCGAAGGGGTGAATTTAAGGAGAGGAATTGAGAACAGCCAGAGTACTATAACATACCATAATAATTAATGTTTAGTATTGCTCATGTACAACCTAGATGTAATTCTAAGAATTTTGTATGGGTTATATGTTTAAATGTAAAAAATACTGTATACATTAGACTTTCTTATATATTTAAAAGAAGGATATTGAGTATAGGTTGCTCAAGATCACACAGCTAGTATATGGAACAGTCTGTTTCCATAGTTTGGTTGGATGCTATGAGGCCATCTGGTTGGGCTAATAGAATATGGTGAAAGATAATAGTGGTAACTAACTACAAGCTGTCCATGATTACGGACAAAATCAAACCATAAACTTCCAATTCGCAGCACAATAAGGTTCTCATTGCTTTGGGATATACATATTTATAAGCTTTCAATGCATCCCTCAGTGATTTTAACCTCTAAATGCATAAACTTCATGTATCTTTAGTTTCTTCAGTAGGACTATCTAGCCTCCATGCCAAAAAGCCCTGCTTAGTTCACTAGAGAGCCATAAGTCAATAAAAATAATCTTAGAAACCTAAACAATAAATATATGAATTACTTAAAATGATACAGAAAGTATATTATAAGGGACAACAGGGTGTACTTATTATTTTGTATTCTGGGAAACGTGAGGGACAAGTGGCCGGCTTTTTTGTGGAGTGTGTATGAATTGTTGACCTAGTTAATGTCTGTGAGTTTTCTATGTATATATATGCACAAGTATATCCCTAAGTAGGAGCATTTTTAAATCCCAAGCAAGGCTCTGCTGTTGCCTCAGGCCCCTCCTGGTTTCCTCCAGTGTCTGAGCAAATAACTGCGCAGAAGGGCGGGAACTGACTGTGGTTTCCGCCCCTGCTCTTGAGGTTTTCAAACAGGTCCGTTATATTATTATAAAAGGCTGTGTGGGGTTGTCAGAGTAATTCTGTTGGGAGGTTTGCGTCTGAGCTTTGACTATGTCTGGGCGAGGTAAGGGTGGCAAGGGCTTGGGCAAAGGGGGTGCTAAGCGTCACCGTAAGGTGTTGCGAGACAACATCCAAGGCATTACGAAGCCTGCGATCCGGCGTCTTGCTCGTCGTGGCGGAGTAAAGCGTATTTCTGGCCTTATCTATGAAGAGACTCGCGGAGTGTTGAAGGTGTTTTTGGAGAACGTGATCCGCGATGCTGTTACTTACACGGAGCATGCCAAGCGCAAGACTGTTACGGCCATGGATGTGGTATATGCACTCAAGCGTCAGGGACGCACCCTCTACGGCTTTGGCGGCTAATTCTTAAATCCAATTATTTTACAAAGTGAAACGGCCCTTTTCAGGGCCACCTATCCATTCATTTGAAGGAGTTGGTAACCATTTTGTAATAGTTGCTTTTTGTGAGTGTTTAGTAACGTGAGTCTGTACATTTCTCAAATGGTTTCTTCACCATTTGTTAATTTTTGTTTAGTACGTTTTCAACTAGTTAAAAGTTAATTATTCCATAATAATTATTCCATACTTTGTGTGTTTCTAGTGTGCCATAGTAAAGGGGTGTGACATTTTAGGACGGCCAACTGCAGGTAACACCTCCGAATAGTTGTCAGGTAAGCACGGCAGTAGAGGTGGAGGGCAGCATGGGAGGCAGGTGGCAAAGGCTGGTGCTGCTGCGAACAATAGGGGAAAAGCCTAGTTGGTGTCTAGCCCCCGGGGCCCTGTTCTATGCTGAAGATAAAATGGCGTCTTCATGGAGCTCACGTGAGAGGGAGTGTCGGTGGTGAGGACTAGCAAAAATAGTTTAAAAGTACGCTGAAGGCAGTAAATCCTGTGGGAGAAACAACGGACGTAGGTAGGATTCACAAAGTTTTAAGAGTAATGGTGGAACAGGCCAACTTGTTTGGCTCTGTTTCTCTAAGGTGTCCTCCCATCTATCCAGAACTACTGGTTTCTCTCTTTGAAGCCAAAACAAACAAACACTTTTATTAATGTATCCGTGGCCAGTTTAAATATATAGTTATGCTTACTTTAAATATATAGTTTAAATATATAGTTATGTCCTTTATGTTGGCTCTCTATCGTGAATAATGTTAGTCTTTATTATGAGTCTTTTACCTTAAATTACAGATGAGAGTACTGTGGTTGCATGCCACATGTGACAAAAAGTGCTGGAATGGGCCTTTCCAGCTCAGGTCGTCATGGTTCAAATCCTACCTTCTTTCCTCCTACACTTCAGGAAATGAGACAAAAATAAATCAGCAGTGTTCCAGTGGGTTATTCCATTTCTTGTTCTTAACCACTGTAGACTTACTGCAATCTCTTAAAACTGTCAGTATGCCATTGTATTATTTGGTGTGCTCACAATAAGTTTTAATCTGTGAAGAATATTGTCTAGGCTGGCATTTTTCCAATAAAATTTGTTCACTTTGTTATAATAAAGGCATAGCTGGACAGGCGGCTGTCTAACCTCCTGGCCTTTCTGGCAGCCGATGTGAGAATGTGGCTCAGTTTTTCCCAACAAATGTCAGTAGAACTTAACAAAAGTTATTTCCAGTTCTGGGCTTTAAAACTTTTCATGTTGCCGTATTCTCTCTTCTCATGAGTTATAATGGAGATGATATTTTGACGCAGTAGAGAACATCAGGCTCTAGGAGGTGACAGAACACTGACCTGGAAGGAATGAGGTTTCCTGATTGATCACAAGAATCAGACCTGCTCCATAGAGCTGGACAAATCATGATGGATCTGTTTCATGAGACAAAAATATTAATAACTGTCTTTAAGCTCTTTTATTGTTAAGTCTCTTTGTTATAGCAGCTTAACTTTACCATACAAAATACAGGATTTTTTAAAAAAACTTATTTAGCATTGAGGAATTTTCTTCCACTGAAAGCTTGAAAAGCTGATGCTAAATGAGCCTCTCAGTATCTCTTCCAATATGTTCTATTCTAGACAGAACACAGTGGAGCTCATTACATTTTAGAGACCAATGAGTGGACTATCCATATGTTTTAAGCAGTTGTAATCTGGATATTTTAATATACTGTGTCCCCTTAGGTGAGTAGTTCTTAACAATATATGGAACAGAAACTCTTTTGAGAATCTGTTGCAAAAACAGATATATGGACATAGAAATTTTATGGGGCACATATATCTTCTGGGGCTCAAGTAAATCCCAGGATTCCATGGATTTCTGCCAACAATTAGAGGTCCAGGATTTCAGGGCCTGAGATATAGACACCCAAAATTTAACAATACAGAGAAATAGGCAGACATAATACTAAAGAAAAGAAAAGAAAAAAAAAAAAACATTGAGCAGGTTTGGAGTTTATTTTGCCATTTATGTACTGAGTACAATAGACCTATATATTCTTAAGAAGTTAGGTCAGGTTTTAACATTTTATAACTCAGAATGCAAGGTAGCTTATTCTTAAAATTTTTGATTCAGGTGCCTGAAGGCCCAAACAGACTGAATTTCACAAGATTTAGTAGTGAATAAAAGCTGGGGAGTTTATCTTCCGCTTGATTAAGAAAGAAGGCCATGAATTTTATCTTGAGACCCTTTGAACATGTCTTTCATGGACATCTTAGTAAATATATTTAATAAGGCCTGAATTTGTAGTAGTCTACACCAGTAAGCAAATCATATGTTAAGTTTATACAAAACATTCCCAATACCCATCTTGAGGTTCTGGGAAACCTGTACAGAAGGATGGTTTTTTGGAATGCATCTTCAGTTAAGTTACTTGACCTCTCTGTGCCTCTGTTTCCTCACCCGTAAATTATAGTATTACTTAGCTTATAAGGTTTTGAAACAAATAAAGTTAAATATTTGCTAAGCATTTTGACCAGTGCATGGCACACGTTAAACACTTTATATTTTGACTGTTGTCATTACTGCTATTACTATTATTCTTATTTCTCATGACATTAGAGAGACCTAGAGAAAAAGAAAGTGGTGTTTGAACCATGAATATGTACTTGAAGTTCCTACTCTCCCATTTTGTATCTGTGTGGTCTGTAACAAGTTATTAACTACTCTTCCTTTATCTATAATGTGGGAGAAATTTCATATTTTTGTTAGGACTGAGACAATGTATGATAAATAATATGAACATATTCAACAAATATAAGCTTGTATATATTCTGAAAATGTGGTGAGTGTGTTAATTAAAATTCTTTTGGATGCCAATATCAAAAACCAATCTCAGGTAACAAAATAAAAACAAAAACAACTCTTTTGAAAGGTTGCTGACTACGCTTAAGACATTGATGAACACTTCTGTGAAGAGAAAGGCTCATCTTTCTCTTTTCTTTCCCAATTTCTAGAAAAGTGAATCTTATTGGTCCAACGGGGTAGGTGTCTGCATCAATCAGATATAACAGCCAAAGAGAGAGCTTATAGTATAATGTGACTGGTTGAGGCATGGCCCTAAATGAAGCTTTTCCCAGGGAAGAAGGAATAAGAAGCTGTCCCAGATAGTGGCTGGGTTGCTCTTCAGTACCCATAACCCACCTTCCGAGTGATCTCCATTTATCATATCCAAAACTTATGTTTGTTATCATCCAACTATACATCATACTTGCTTGGCCACATTCTCATTCTTCAAATAATTTATTCTTTAGACCTGGGGTCCCCAACTTATGTTGAGTTGTATAATTATTTCATTATATGTTACAGTGTAGTAATAATAATAGAAATAAAGTGCACAATAAATGTAATGCACTTGAATCATCCCAAAACCACCCCTACCCCAGTCCGTGGACATACTGTCTTCCATGAAAATGGTCCCTGGTGCCAAAATGCTGCTGCTTTAGACTTCTGCTGATTTTCTTCTAAGCTCACTTAACACAATTTTTTTTTTTTTTCAGACAGTCTCTCTTTGTTGCCCAGGCCACAGTGCCATGGCATCAGCCTAGCTCACAGTAACCTCAAACTACGGGACTCAAGTGATCCTCCTGCCTCAGTTTCCAAAGTAGTTAGGACTACAGGTGCAGGCCACTATACCCAGCTAATTTTTTTTTATTTTTAGTAGAGATGGAGGTCTTGTTCTTGCTCAGGCTGGTCTCGAAGTGATTCTCCAGCCTCAGCCTCCCAGAATGCTAGGATTACAGCTGTGAGCCACTTTATCCAGCCTCAGTTACTACAATTTAGGATTTTTTGCTATTTCTTTTCTCTGAAGTTTGGAGTGCTTATGGGATAAACTCACTGCTTTGGTCTGTCTTCATGAATAATCTCCAATCCCATTCTAGGCTGGCAACATTAAAATTTCTATTTCAATATTTTTATAATTTCTATGCCCAGTCCAGATGTTGCCTCTGAATTCCAGATGCACATATACAACTACTCATGGACATCGCCAATGGAAATGAATGCTTAAGGTATTTTAAAAATAGTTACATCCTATTCTCCCAAATCTCATCCTTTTCTACAAATTTTTGATCATCCATCCGAGAACTTCAATAGCACTATAGGGCAGTGGGCAATCATACAATCTCTATAGGCATACTGCCTTGTGTTGAATCCAGTCCCATATCTTGTTTATGTTCTAGTCAGTCAAAGGGTGAGAATAGTTGATTCAGATGATAATATATGCTAAGTAGATAAAGTGAGTTAACCATTGAAAAGAGCTTGGCACAGTTTCTGAAACATATAAAGGGCTCAGTAAATGTTAGCTACTTTTCCCCCACCCATTCAACCTAATCCATCAATAAATTCTTTTGGCTTTTTCCTCTTAATTCTAACTCTAATAATTTTACCAGGATTATTGTAATTTTCCATTTTTCTCCTCCTTCATTCTACTTTTAGTCATATCAAATTTATTTTCCACATAGTAGCCAAAGTACTTAAAATCTTGGTAGTTTGCTAAGACAAAATAAAAATATGAGTGCCTTCCTTTGGTGTATAAAGTTCAACATGTTCAGGTACCTATTTAATCCCAGCCTTATCACTTAACATTTTACCTCCGTTCACACAGGCCTTCTATTTTTTGAGCACAGAATTTCCCTGCCTTAGGGTTTTTTGTACCAACAGTTCCCTTAGCCTGGAACTTTTGGTCCCTAGACCATTGATTTCCTTGTTTAAATCATCAGCTAGTCATTATCATGACATTTGGTTATATTTTATTTTTTCACAGCACTCGGAACTCCTTTCTATTTGAAATTATCTTGCTGAATTGTCAACTTGTTTATTGTCTCTCTTCTCCCAATAGGTTGTCACCCCAGGGAGAGCAGACTCTTGTCTGTCTTGCTTACTGTGGCATCTCAATGCCTGGCACAGAAGGAATACAATTAATATTTCATGAAATACTGAATGCAATCCCTTCAGCTACTCTCTGATTTGTTTCTTTCATTCACAGCTCCATTACTGCTGCGATCTCTATGTCTTGCACCTTTAAAATGCAATTATCACTATTATTTCCCTCCAGTCCATCCAGCCTCCTTCCACCAGAGGCATCTTCCTATAACCAGAGCTGATTATGTAATTCCCTGCTCAGAAGCTTTCTATAGTTTTTTATCATCTGTAAAACAGATGTAAACTTCATAGTTTGACATCCAGACCCTTCACAAGCCTATATTATAACCACATCTTGACCACAAGGATAGTTCCACATGGGCAAGGATCTTGGTTAGTTTGTTCATCTCTATAGTAGATATTCTCAAAGTATAGTCCCAATCAGCATCTGTATTTCCTGGGAACTTTTTAGAAAGGCAAGTTCCTAGATCCCACACAAGAGCTAATGAAACAGAAACTTTGGGATGTAGACCAGCAAACTGTCCTTTAACAAGACCTCTAGGTGATTCTGATTTACACTCAAATTTGAGGACCATTGTTCTTCATCATCAGTACTTAATTCACTGCTTGGCACCTGAATATGAATGAGTGGCTATCCACTTTGTACATACTGGATGTTCCTTCTGTCTGCCTGGAGAGTCCTTGTATCAGGCAGTGCAAGTGCCACCCTAAAAGCCATTTTCCCTACTTCCTTATTAATACAACCTTGATTTTGTTCGGGTATTTCCTTGCTCTCTGCCTTGGGCTCCAGGAAAAGCAGGGTTCCTCCTGTCCTTAGAGATCTGATTATAATTCAACCACACCTATCCCATGTCCCTTACTAATGATTGGCTTTGCACTGAATATAGTGTCAGTTCTTTGAAGCTATGGAAATCCACAACAATGAAGACCAACTTCTCCAAGAACATTACGATTAAGGTGAGATGGTACTCCTTGATCAACAAACATTGTGTGTGTGTGTGTGTGTGTGTGCACATATTTATGTGTTGGGTAGGGGTATACAATCAGGGCCACTTCAGGTGGAGAAACATTGCAAAGGCCTAGAAGCTGAAGGGGTCTTGGGGAATTCTCAAAACTGGAAAAACAAAAACAAAAACAGAAAGAATGGAAAAGAAAAAAGCAAGGAAAGAGAGAAATAAAGGAAAGAAAGGAAGAAAAAAGAAAGAGAAAGAAAGGAAAGAAGGAAGGAGGAGGGAAGGGAAAGAGAAAGAGAGAGTGAAAGAGCTCTGATGTTGGGGTGAAGAGTTAAGTGAAGGCCAGAAGTTGCAGACATTGAGGACATACCATAGCATAGATTGCTGATTTTTTGCTTAAAGCAGTAGGGAATCATTAAAAGGTTCTGAGCAGGTATAATACATGATCTGGTGGGCTTTTAAAAAAGATCACTGTGACTCTGGAATGAAAACTGG